TGGGTCCAGGGAAGGCTTCTTAAGAAGGGGCCTCACCACCGCCTCCTTCAAGGCTACGGGGAAGACACCCTCTCGTAGAGAAGCGTTTATAATTCCCTGGAGCCAGGCTCGTGTACCCTCCCGGGCAGCCAGTACCAGCCAGGAGGGGCACGGATCCAATAAACATGTGGTTGCTTTCAGCCTCCCCAGGATCCTGTCCCATCTTACATCATGACTCTGGGTGGTGAACCACTTTAGCTAGCACTTTTCTGCTAAGCCATGATGGTTGATGAGTAGTAGAAAGAATAGTGTAGAGAGAAAGAAAATTAGTCAATTGGTTGTACCAAATTCTGTTTAAATCAAACTATCAAACAAAGTTGTACTTATATCCATAATGATCTTAAAAATAAAAATTAGAGAACAGAGCTTACATATAGAATAAAATCTTAAAATTTATCCCTCCATAGAATAATTTATGGGATCCTATTTTTCATTCAGTATCTATTAAACATAAATGCTAATTAACATCTGAATAATGTTTGATAGTAAACTGTTTTCATTTTATCATTAGTCTAAATTTTAATTGGCTTCCAGTAATTTTTTCATACTATTTATATCCAATACTCACTCTAAGCCACTTGCAGCAAAGCACTTCAGGTGGATTGTTACAACTTCAGGCATTTTATCAAACAAAAGACTGCGTTCCGCTTCTGTGTAATGGAGACAATTTTCACAAAAGTATTTATCTTCTCCCACAATCCTCTCTATGGAAGCAAACTGTGAAATTGCCCATTTCAAAGTCTTTACATCCGTTTTGGGCTCTGGGGAAACTAAGAGATAACATTAATTCAACAATATTTAATAACAGTTGTTCTGCAAGTACAAAGGCAAATTGCTGTTAATTATAGCAGTAGTAAAAATTGGAAAAACAAATTACTTGTAAGAACACAAGGTAAGGAGTTACAACGTTAAGAACATTGGTTTTTATATTTTGGTCTTTTCTCAGAATTTCGAGGTCAAGTTTCTGTCCTCAGTTTATTGATATTGGCGAAGCTAATTTAAAATCAACTCAATATGCCTAAGGTGGACTAGGAATCCACAAGTTTCATTCCAGCTTTGTAACTAAATGATAAAGCAGTATTTGCTAAGGGAAATTTAAAGTAATCAACATACCCTTTAAAGGTTTAACGCATAGTATCCCGAGTACTCTCTAGCAACACCTGCTATCCAATAAGGTTCTAGTATAAATCATGAACGTGTAGCTATTTTTACTCTGGAGGTTCTACTTACTTTCAGAATTCTCCTCTACTTTTAAGAGCTCATCTTTTTGAACGGGTACACTGATATCTTGAAAATCTTCTCTTCTCTCAGTAAAGCACTCACACTCTAAACATCGGGTTCGTAAGACCAATTGACCTTGGAAGAGTCTCTCCACTAAATTGAAGATAGCAAATTCTGTACCAAAAAAAACCACACCCCAAAACAGATTAAGTGAAATATTTTCTCTGAACAGATTTTGTTTATGAAAGATTTTTTAAAAAGATTCCTAGATATTTTATGAATGAGTTTGAATAACTGTAGTAAAAAAGAGAATGATTGAAGCAGAATAGTTGGAAGACTTCTTATGTACATGACCATCTTATTCTACTCCATAACAAACTTTTTATTTAAACAATGTATTTCAGGTGTGACACTGGAACACAAATATGCTAATATTACAAAGTTCTGTTTATATGGACGGAGCATACACATGGAATGTGTATGCTTGTTTGAGATGCTCATAGGAAAATTGCATTTCACTTGGAGGTAAACACATGTGCAGAGGCAAGAAAACTAGATGCATGGTTTACTTTGCCTTCTCTTACAGCTAATAATTGATTATAAACTTTTACTATTAAATTTGATGGCACAGAAGGATGATCAGATCACTAGAGCATCAAATTCCCACTCTCCCATGTCATGGGCATAGGCTAACCTTGACTGAAGCGTTCAGTTCTTTCTCCAACTGTAATTTTCATAGATGAAGAATCACAACATTCTCTGTTTGATTTGCTATCGTTTTCATACTTGAGGGAAC